CTCTCTCTCTCTCTCTCTCTCTCTCTCTCTCTCTCTCTCTCTCTCCAGGGTCTCTGGCTGCCCTGGAACTTGAAACTTGACCTCACCAAGTAAACTAGGTCAAATGGCAAAATCCTAGGTCGAATCCTCTTTTCTCTGCCTCCCTAGTGCTAGGATTTAGAAGTGTGTACATTTTTAAAGTGGTTGTTGTTGTTTTAATAGTTCTAGGGATCAAACTCAGGTCCAAATGCCTCTTCCCTACTTCATTTCCCAAGTGCTGGGACTTCACGAATGGACACCTGGGTTTTGTGGTCCTGGGAAATTGAACCCATGGATTTGTGCATGCTAGGAAGCAGTCTACCAACTAAGTTACGACATCAGCCCTACCACATCATTTTATAGAGGGGCCTTGAGCATCTGTGGGGATTCTGGAACAGCTCCCTAAAAATACTGCATTTAATAATCTTTCCAATGTGGATTTTCTTTTTGTGAGATTTCTAGACTCACTGTGACCAAGTCTCAGTCGGTGTTCAGCTCTGTTTCCACCCACAGCTGGGATGGGATTATCCATGGCCTCTGTTTGAGCAGCCTCAATGCTGCTGCAGGAATGTGGTCTAAGGACCACCATCTCCTCCTCCAGGGGCAGCATGTGTATGGAGATGGCATGGAGTGTGACCATGACTGGTTGTTGGGTCCTGCCTTCTGTATGTGTAGTTGGTCTCAGGGAATGCCCACCCAGGACTCCCCAGTCTCTGGTCCTCTATAGCAGTTCTGGCCTTGCCTTCTGACCTGTCTTCACCATGCCATTGGTACCAGGCTTGTCTTCTTGAATGCTGCACACTTCCTTTTGTTGAAGGGAAGGAACAGGACCCCTCCGCTTGGGCCAGAGCTTCCTCCACCAATGTGCCCCCTCAGCTCCCCACTTCACCACTCACTTCCTCCCACATCCTGCCCTCTGTGTGGGACCCGCCACCCTGTGCTGTAACACGAATTGCCAAATGGTCTTATTAATAGAAAACCCAGAGCCAGATATTGGGGTGAAAGCTGAAAGACCAGAGAAACAGAATAGGCCAGCCATGTTCTTACCTCTATGAAATCCTCAGCCTCAAGAGAGTGAGTTCCTGTTTCTTCACACCTTATGGAATTTTCTGTGCCCAGACATCACTTCCTGGGATTAAAGACGTGTGGGCCTCCCAGTACTGGGCTTAAAGGTGTGTGCCTCCACTGCCTGGCTCTGTTTTCAGTGTGGCCTTGAACTCACAGAGATCCTCCTGAGTGATAGGATTAAGGGTGTGTGCCACCACTGTCTGGCCTCTATGTCTAATCCAGTGGCTGGCTCTGTCCTCTGATCCCCAGGCAAGTTTATTAGGGTACACAGTATGTCACCACACTGTGCTACTGCTGGCAACCAGAGGGCATGTACCAGCCCCTCAAATCATCCATTCTTTTATTCACCCCATCTTGTCTCCCTGGGAGGACTCTCCCTGCCTGTTTGTGAATAGACAACCATTACTGACCCTAGTTCCTCCCCGAATGGTGAGACAAGTACATCCTTTGTCCCCGGGATCAGAACAGGGGCCCTAAGAAATATGCACACAGGCGTCCTGTCTACTGACAGGTCAAACAGAGGAGCAGTGACCATCTCCCTGTTCATCATGTGGGAGGGTGTCCTGCTACTTGGGCGTCAGAAACTGGGGGTCATGTTGAGGTGGGTCTGCAGCCAGCAAGCCCCAACTGGACCCTCCTGGCTGGAGAGCCAGCTGCTGGGTCCAGCTGTTGACTGGGTGTTCTGGTTGTTTGCCCAGGAAGGTGGCAGGTGCTTCAGTGCCGGGGTCCTCAGCACCAAGACTCTGGCACAGATAGATCCGAATATTCTAGAATTCTCTTGCCTGATGACCCCAAGGAGTCCTTAAAAAAAAAAAAAAAAACATAGAATAATGGATTTCATTAGGTCGCTTCCACATGTATGCATCATATGCTTTGCTACATACCACATCACCTTTGCTCATTCTACCTCCTGCTCATCTCTTTTCTCTCCCCAAATAGTCCCCCTCCTATTCCCATACTTTTTTTTTTTTTTAATCCATATTCTGCTCTTGAGAGAAAAAACGATACTTCCCTGAGCCAGGCTTGTTTTACCTAACACGATGACCTCCAGTTCCATCCATTTTCCTGCAGGCGATATAACTCATTGTGTCTCTCTACCATTGGTCCCAATGGAATTTAGGCTGGTTCTATGCCTTGGCTATTGTGGTTGGTGTCATAATAAACATGGATCTGCGGGTGTCTCTTAGAGTCTACTGAGTATATGCCCAGAGTGACCCTGTCGGTCTCAAGACCTCTTTTGTCCCCAGATCCACACTACTAGGCTGTTGTGTGCAGTAGCTGAAGCTGAGGCTTGATACCCTGAGTACCGGGCACCCCACTAGGGATTCAGAGGAAAGGCCGCGCCAGCAGTTGGAGATGGAGTCAGGCCCCTGTTCTGCCCCTCAGGTGCTAAGCCCTGAGCCCGCAGCTTGGCACTCTTTCTCCTGCAGGGAGGGAGGGAGGGAGGGAGGGAGGGAGGACCGCTGTCTACCTGCCGTTCCAGGGAGGCCCAGAGCACCTGTCAGTGGCTCCAGTGGCCTCCAGACACCAGATCACTCAGGGCTGCAGTTACTCTGGCCTGTAGGGAGGGGCTGGATATTAGCCCAAAGCCCCTGCAGTCCTCAGGGACACGGTGTGCAGTAGATGCTTCCCCTCGGCTCCCCACTGCTTGGGTCGTGTGCAGCCGGCCAGCCTGGCACTGCTGTGAGCTCAGGACACACTCAGAACAGTGACCAAGTTATGTCCACCCACAAGTACCTTGCCTGCTGTGGGAGAAATCTGTTCTCTCAAAATATGCATTCTTTTTTTTTTTCTTACTTTTAATTTTATATCTTGGGTTGCATATTTCCTTCATCTAAGAAAAGTCTTTGCTGGTTATTTCTAAAACAGGGCATTTGAGAAAACTTTAGCAGACAGGCACTGGAAAAATCACAGGCCCATGTCAGCCTGGCTATCCCATGCCTGCCTTAAAGCGGCAGCAGGGTCGCAGGCCAGCTGCCCATGGAGGCCGCTGTGGACACCGGCCAGGCTAGCAAGAAGGGAAAAAAGGACTCCCGTGCTACTGTGTGAGTCGTGAGAGGGAACAGGCCCTTGCAGAGAAGCCCCGCTTGACTGGAAGTGAGTGGCCATGTTCTCTTTGTGTGTGTGTGTGTGTGTGTGTGTGTGTGTGTGTGTGTGTGTAGATGTGGCCATGCTCTGCAAGGGGGCGGTGGAGATTAACAGGAGGAGGGTCTAGAGTAGGTATGGCAACAAGCGAGTGGCCTTGACTGTGGCCAGGGAGTCTCCAGGCAGACTTTGGAGAGGGAGTGGTGTTGGATTGAGCCTCAGAGAGTAAGTGGGATGAGAACTTGAGGGGTATAATGTTCCAGGCATCGGGAGGTACAAGCAGGGGTACACAAGTGTTTGCAGGGCAAGGGACAGTTGGCATGACTAGGGTTGGGCATGGAGTTAGCCAAAAGTATTGGTTGTCCTGGGATGGCTGCGAGATAAGAGGAGTCCTGCTGTCTTCTCAGGTATCTGTGCTCCACCCAGCATGGCCTGCTGTGACCTTGTAGAGCTGGTGCCCTCTGTGCAGGCAGGCACCTGGAGTCGGGCTCTCCACAGCACCCTGCCATTCTAGCCAGCCCCCCTTTCCCCCGGTGGACTCAGCTGGACATGTGTGGGCTGGGCTAAGGTGCCGCAGCCCTGGCCAGGAGCATTGCCGGATGCTGTCTAGGGCACTGATCACTCTCTGGGGTGGTTCTCTGCCTCTGGGGTGGTTCTCTGCCCTTGGCAGTCCAGACAGCAGAGACTCTCGCCTGGTTGGTTACAGCAACTCTGTCTCTCTCTTTAGATGATTCCGGGGATGACGACGAAGAGCCTGCCGCCCCAGGTGACAAGAGTGAGCTCCACCACACCCTTAAGAACCTCTCATTGAAGTTAAATGACCTCAGCACATGCAATGACCTCATTGCTAAGCATGGCGCCGCGCTCCAGCGCTCCCTGAACGAGCTGGACAGCCTCAAGATCCCATCGGAGAGCGGGGAGAAGCTGAAGGCTGTGAACGAGCGGGCCACCCTCTTCCGCATCACCTCAAATGCTATGATCAACGTAAGTGCGCCCACCGCCAGCGACCAGGAGACTTCCCGGAAGGGGAAGGGGCTCCCCATCAGCGCCAGGTCCCAGAGCGGGTGGGTGCTTGACAGGCCTCCGATGCCGTGGCTCCGAGTGGTTTTCCGAAGCCAACACCCCCCGACACGTGGCAGTATTCTGTTTATGTCATCTCCGTCCAGCCATTAACTGCTGAAGATATTTATTTTTTATTGTTCTTTTTTCGGGGAGCCAAGGACAGAACTTAGGGCCTCACACATGGTAGGCAAGTGCTCTTTCATGAGGCTGTAATCTTCCACCCAAGGACAAACATTTATTTATTTATTCTGTGTATGTGTGTGTGCGCTCACAAGCATGGCAGCTTATGAACTGTTCTTTTCTTCAGCTGTGGAGATTCCAGGGATTGGCAGCCTTAGTGCGTGGCAAGCGCCTTAACTACTGAGCCATCTTGCCAGCTCCAGCGGAAGCAAGGTCTAGCCCAGTGTCTTAGCCAGGGTTTCCATTGCTGTGATGAAACACCGTGACCAAAAAGCAAGCCAGGGAGGAAAGGGTTTATTTGGCTTACACTTCCACGTTGCTATTCATCACTGAAGGAAGTCAGGACAGGACCTCAGACAGGGCAGGACCCTGGAGGCAGGAGCTGATGCAGAGGCCATGGAGGAGGGCTATTCTACTTACTGTCTTGCTCATCATGGTTTGCTCAGCCTGCTTTCTTATAGAACCCAGGACCACAGCTCAGGGATGGCATCACCCACAATGGGCTGGGCCCTCCCCCATCAATCACTAATTAAGAAAATGCCCTGGAACCAGATCTTATGGAGGCATTTTCTCAACTGAGGTTCCCGCCTTTCAGATGACTGTAGCTTGTGCCAAGTTGACGGAAAACTAGCCACGATAGCCAGGCTGGTGAGCGACTCACCCTAGCCAAGCTGGCCTCAAATTCGCTGCAATCCCTTTACCTTAGCCTTCCACAGCACTGAGGCGTGAGTCACGGCTGCCGGCCTTCGTGGATATTCCTTTGACTTATCTGATAAAAAGGAGTTGTGGTGGACTCTGCTCAAGGCCCGCATGGTGGAGAAAGCCAAGGCCAAAAGTTGAGAAGCCGGGCGGTGGTGGCACACGCCTTTAATCCCAGCACTCGGGAGGCAGAGGCAGGCGGATCTTTGTGAGTTTGAGTCCAGCCTGGTCTACAAAGCAAGTTCCAGGAAAGGTGCAAAGCTACACAGAGAAACCCTGTCTCAGAAAAACCAAAGTTGAGAAGCCAGTTCAGTGGGCCTGCCCAGCCTGCATAATGGGGACATTGCTGTGACCCTGGGCCTCACAGCTGCTCCTGCTCTTCCCCTGTGTATACCCCAAAACATGGGGTCAGGAGATATGTGTGTGGGGTGGCTAGGACTTCCTTAGTCAGAGGGTAGTGGAGCTGGGCCTGCTGATGGTCATGCCAACCCAATCCTAGAGAGAACAAGTGGCCAGTCTGTGCACTGAGACACTCAGCTGCGGGAGTCCGCCACCCTTCCTGGCCCCAGAGTCTCTGTTGCTGGGAATAGGAGCTAGGAAGAATTCCCTATGGTAGGAATACAGTATTTGACGATACTTCTAGACCTTTCTTCAGTCTGCTGCTGGTGTTCCCCAGCCCTCCACCCTGCACACTCGGGTCTGCCTACCATGCCATCATCCCATCGACTCCCCTGGAGGTGCTCATCGAAGCCAGAGGTACCAAGCTTAAAGAGCCAGCATGTCATGGAGCTGAGGCAGAGACAGAATCCAGACATGGAGACTGCTACAAAGAACTCAGGGGTCTCCAAATACAGCTCAGGGGTATCAGACTCTCGGGCGACAACAGGCAATGCCAGGGCCCAGGATAGCCCCAGCGGGGGCTCCAGGCCCTGCAGCTCAGTGGTCAGGGCAGATCCAAACTCCACCCCAGGTTGCTTCCTCAGTGTGCCAGAAGCATGACTGTGGGGCCCAGGGGCTACTCACCACCCACATCTGCTCGGCTATGCTCAGGCCTGGGCCTGGCCAGGGCTTGGGAATTTGTGGCCTGGGACCCCGGGCTGAGCACCGACGGGAGCACCCTCCTCCAGACACCTTAGCAATATGTCCCCCACGTGCTTATACCAGGGTCTATCCTCAGACCCCACGGTGCTCAGGGCGGTGGCCAGCAACCAATGATAAACACAGTGAAGGGCCGCTGGGTGGCAGTGCCGGAGGTAGCTGCCCTGTGCATGGCTCTCACCATCAGGCCGCTTCCACTCATGGTCCTCTTTCTAGTTCACGACTACGGGCCCTGGTCAGTGACCCACTCAGATACTGAGTGTTTAGTGCCATGATGTCGTGTGTGTGTGTGTGTGTGTGTGTGTGTGTGTGTGTGTGTGTCCCCGTCCGTCCGTCCGTCCGTCTGTCCTGCTGCACCTACCCCTGTCCCATCTGTCTGGGAGTCGCCCCTGCCCGCACTGCCTTCCACCACGATGGAAGTTGCTGGGCCTGGGGAGGTTTGACTTTTCCAAGATGGTGATCCTCGTAGATCCTGTAGTGAAGTCTGGTGAAGTCTTTTATCATCAGTGTTTACAAAGGCATAAAACAGCCCCTAGTGCATAACAAAATGCTCTACAGGACACATAGCACCCCACCCCACCCCCACCCCACCCCACCCCCAGCTTGATTCTGAGGCCTGTTTCCAGTTCTAGCCCTCCAAGGAATCATGGGACGGTCTGCCTCACGTGGTGGGCGCTGCACCGTGGAGTGGCTAATGGGAACCTGACCTAGGCCACCTCATCAGGGCGTAGGGTGAAGGCTAGTTGACAGACACTTGTAGCCCAGGCTAGCCCAGAGGCCCAGCTTGTTCTTGGGGGGGCTTCACGAGCACCACTTCTTACCTGGCCAGACGGGGTCTGCTCTGGGAGGGCGCTTGCCTGGCTGGCAGACACCACGTGTCCACACCCTCACTGGGTGCCAAGGGGGTCCATAGGCAAGCTTGCCTGGGGGTTGTGGGACATAGGGGTCACCCCTGGCCGGGGCTTGGCTTTTGTGCTGATATGAGGAGGCCAGCGGCACCTGAAGCTGAGGCACCACGGGTGTTTTCTATTCCTGCTCTGCAGCTGTGTGCTTCCCTTGTCAGTACCACGGTGGCCTTCGCACTGGAGTGCAAAGCAAGACCCAGAAAAGCCTCCCGAGCTCCCAGAGTCACCAAGCTGGGATGCCAAGCCGGAACTGTGGGGTGACCCAGTACAGGAATGATGGCTCCTGGGGGTCGGCCCCCTGGGGTGTGCAGAGGACTCCTCCTGCCTGGCTCTCTCTCTGGGGCCTTGGCGTGATGAGACGTCTGTCTCTGGGGCCGGAGCCAGGGCCGTGCGCATGCTAAGCATGACTCGGCCACTACACCACGTTCCCAGCCAAATCCCTCCGGTACGTCTTTCCGTCCATCGTTCACCTTGGGCTGCCCTGGGGCCCCGGATAGCTGTGGCTGAAGGCTGGGGACTCAGAGATGGAAATCACCCGCAGCTGTTTGCAGGAGGTACAAGCCACCCCTGCCCAGCCCCTCAAATGCAGCTCCAAAGTGGTCCTCCGCTGTGGACGGCTGGCTGCCTTTTCAATCCCCACCCTGCACTGACTGATAGGAGTTGAAGCTTCCAGCAGCCCACCCCCAAGTCTGGAACGCCTCTTGCAGGGACCCTCGAATGGAGGAGATTCCCCCTTCTCTAACCCACCCCTGGCCCCAGCAAGTGCCTGTGTTTTCCACAGTAGTTCTGACTGTGCTTCCGTCCTAACAGAGCAAAAAGTGCGAGCTGGACAGGCCCTGCTGGGAACCCCACCCCACCCCACCCAAGGCCGAGAAGCCAACAGCAGCTTCTTACCCTGGCCGAGCCCACCACTCCCGCCCCCCCCCCACTTCCCCCAGATGATGACGAATCTGGCATTATTTGGCCTCCAGAAGGAAGGGTCCTTTACAGTCCTGAAAGTGAGCCGGATCATAGGCCTTTTGGTTCCAGACTACCAGTGGGACGCGTGAGGGGGGGTCCCTGCACAGTTCCCAAGAGCCCCGGCTCTGTGGCTAGTGGAGCAGGCTCTCCAGCCCACTGCCCCCCAAAAGGCAAGATGGCATCCTTACCTCCCGCCCAGTAGACCCCTCCCTGTGTCTGGGGACACCAAATGACACTGAAATGCCTTTGCTGGTGCTGTGCTGTCCTTACCTGCAGTGACTCTGTGGCCGTGTGGCTGCATAGTTAGGGAGGCCCTGCCCAATGGGCATATCACCAAACCTTAATGAGCCCTCTCCAGGCCTGTGTGCAGGACTCAGCAGGAAGCAGCAGACCCTTCCTGTCCCTGGCGCTCACAGCCGGGCAATCTTTCCTAGGGATGCATTGTCTCACATGTATTAGTGGTGGACCTTCAGGGTGGGGTGGGGTGGAAAGAGAGTCCCGGAAGTCAGTCCAGGTCCAGCCAACCACACCCTGATAGGAAAATGACTCTCAGGTTCCAGTCACAGACACCTCTCTTCCCTGGGAGCAGAGAACAGAGGTGGTGGCCCTGGCGGGAGAGAGGAAGGGTCAGTGGTACTGAGGTGAGCCCAGGTCTTTGTGATTCCAGAGCAGCCACAGCCTGCTGCCTCATGGGAGGAAATCAGCCCATACCTCCCATTGGCTGGACGTGGGAGGGCAGGAAAACCTCACCCAAGCTTCCTTTCCTGCCTCCCCTCCTCAGCATCCAACAGCATCCATGGGCCCATAGCGTTTCATACGCTGTTCCTGGCAGCACTTGACCCGTACTCCCTGAGAGGGCAGGACCTTGGCAGCCCCACGGTCCTGAAACCCCTGTGCCTGGTACAGGGCCCAGCACACAGGACTTCAGCACACCAGAGAGAGAAAAAACCAAGGGGAAATTGTGAAAGGTAGTCGGAGCAAATGAATGGATCTCTCGGTGTCTGGCAGAATTCCCCAGCGGATAATCGCTCAGCTGATAAACGCCAACCCAGCAAATCCTGCTTGAATGATTGCTTGGGT